AAATTCATAACTGGAGGATATGTGCTCCTTACTTGATATTTTGATTATTATTTTGATAATATTTTCTTAATTTGATGCACAGTTTTATCACATAATTTATACAGGAAACTTAATGCAGTTTTCTTGATCCAATAAACAAAAGGTGGTAGTTAGCTTTTCAAGAAGTTCTATTTGAAAATAACCTCTTCTAAGGAGAAGTGTCAGCTCTGTTTCTTTCTGGCTTGCTTGTGTTAGCATTAGTAGCATTATCTTCAATGTATGGTTTCTTTGTGGGAATTGTTATAAGCAGCTTATCCATTTTGTGAGAGGTAGTTTAGTGAAAACTAGACAATATAATCCATAAAACCACTTCATTGGGCACACATAAACTGCAATAAGCCAATAGTGAGTGAATGAACAAGTACACTACTGTCATCATCACTGCATTCCCACTTCTACGTGATTATCTCCCCTGTGCATACCCTGTATGACACAACCATCTGACTGAGGGCTACTGTTTTTGTCCACAGGCAGGTTTTTTCTTTGGAAGAATAGGAAGTTACTTGTGACTTTATAGTGACAATTAGTGTGACAGGCATGGAATTCAGCACATAATTTGGGGTGTGTGTGTATTTCTAAAAAGATTTTTGAGAACAGGGCAGAAGCTGCATCAAGCTAATAGAAAGGATTGAATAGTAATCAAGTAAGATACTCAAGAACACTGACTTCTTTAACTTCACAGGAAGAAGACTGGAATGTGTTTTATTGGTTCCCAGTATTTCCTTGTATTGTTACACCAAAGGGCTTCAATGGTTGAAGCCAGACTACTTAAAAATGGCAATAAAATACATGTTCTTAATTCATAATAAGTATTGGAATACCTGTCAACAAAAGAGTAAATTAATTTTCTAGAAAATAAAGCTTCTTTGTATTTCTAACTAAGCTGATTTATATAAAAGAGCTTACATTTATGTCTCTGTTGGGAAAAAAATCTCAGGTAATCTTTATTAGTAACGTAACTTTCTGACTTCTGGAGATCTGGAGACATGAAATAAAGCTGATAACGGAATGATGTTAAGTTACTGTTTGTAAGAAAAAGCAGTAAGTCTTTTGATTAAAAACAAGCCTCTAACTTCTAGTGCTTTGAACTGTTAATATGAAATGATTTTATAAACATGGGGAATTTTAGACATAATACTCCATACCTGCCTTGCAGAAGTTACTCACAGCATGTTAAACACATGGGGTATTCTAGAATTTTCATCTAATGAGAAGATCAAGTGTTGTAGGTATAGTAAGTATTATTCTTTCCATGTTAAAATGAGATGCTGAAATACTATCTCTCTGACCTGGACCTATACTTAACAGGAGTTGATGATATGATATGATATGATATGATATGATATGATAAAATGTTAAAGGCTGGTTTCAACATCGATAAATGCATTTCTGAAATCGGCAGCCGCCTACAAGTCTGACATCACAAATTCCTTTCTACTAACTTGTAGTCATGCAAACAAATTCTAGAAATCTAGACAAAGCTCAAAAATGTTTTGTATTCTGTATATTTGAAGGGCCTTTAATATTTTAAAATCTTAGAGACACAGAGCAGATGCAGTGATAATGGAGGAAACCAACTTTTATTGAGAATATTTTGGAGTTAATATTTTAAAACATACAAATATATGAGCAGAGATTCTCAGAATATTGTCTCAGGCTATTACAAGTGGTGCTCCTTCTTTCAAATTTCCAGTGCTTTTCTTCTTTCTCTTTAAATTTTCAGGTGGCTGGGGATTTGTGGGGTTTTTTGACTGATGTTTCTGTACATTTTTGGGTTAACTTAATTTGCTGCTGCAGATACAGCCACATTTCTTTGTGTAATTCCACCATACCAGAAAGTGGAGGCAGAAAAATTGAATTAAAGAGTTAAGATATTCCCTTCTGTGTACAAATAAATTTTCTGATCCATTATCTGATAATTAGGGATGATATTTTTAAAATTAAAACCAGTCTTGTACCATGTTCTGATGTAGTGTGCAATATGGTCTATGCTCGTTCATTAGTAGCAATAACCTACTCCTTTGAAGTCTTTCTGAAATCAGTGTTATTATGCATGTTAAGTATTAGTGTAGATATGGGTATGATTATATATATTCGGAGGAAAAAAAAAGGAAGTTCTAGTTTTCCGAAGACTGAACAGTTAAATATTAGTACTGATATGGGTATGATTACACATTTAAAAAACATGGAAGCTCTAGTCTTCAGAAAATTGAACAGTTAAACTGGATATTTTAGGGGTTGTTTTTGTTATTTTCAGTTGAAGGAAAAGGGATCAGTAAATATAATCTTAAAAACGATGCAATCATTTGTTTTCATTTTTGCTAAAACAGTAAGTTGGAATTTTTTTTACCCAAAGCTGTAGTGGACACAGTTACCGATCTGTGGCCTGAGTGTAAAAAGTAGCACTGTAGTAAGGTATGAAAAACTTGAGTCTTGATGTAGCTCAAAAAACACTGAGTCATAGATGTTTTCATTTTTAAGTTTAGATTTGATCTACAGAGAAGGAAGGCAAAATGCACAATTTCATTAGGGTATTCTGAAAATAGATTTTGTTATTCTGTATTGCACAGTATTGTAACAATGGACACCACAGAAAAAGGTCACATGAAAGGAAAAATGTTTTCAGTGTTGAATATTTAGAGTATGTAACAAAGAGACAATACATACTGAAAAAACATATCTGGAGTAAATGGCTTGCTTGAGAGAACAAAATTTATTCTGCTGAATGAGGAAGAGGTTCTGTGCATATGAGGAAGTGCAAGATGAACAGAGGCAGTGTAATCAAGTTACTTTTATACAGTCACACAATGCATAGTTACAAAAAAGCAAAAGTAAAATTTGATAATAAGGCTTTCAGTATTGATGTCTTCAAAATTCTGGATTGCCTAGATTCTTAAGGCAGGTGTTCATATAAAGCTATAAAGTCCAGAAGCACAAAATATTTTTGTAATAATTATTGGAATATATGTGGTGGTGTTCATTGTTCATAAAGTATATATGAATTATATGAAAATGAAAATAGAACGTGGCATTATTGCTAGTGTAATTATAAATGCAGTGCTTGAAAATATTAAAGAACATTGCTAGTCTTGATGCCTGCTTTTATTTTGTCAAATATTCTTTCAGGAAGCAGTTTCTAATGAAGTGAGTGATTATGTGCACTGCTAACTTGAACTGGAAATTGATGATGTCTCTACTAAAGGTTTAGATATGTCTAATTTGTTAAACATATTTAATTGATTCTCATGTTGTGCCAGGAGAGGCCTTTTTATATGGACATCTTGTTATGGTTCTGTTCAGGGGAAAAAAAAACTGAAGTAATTTTTTCAGGTGGCATGTAGTTTTGCTGGCCTAAGCTGTGCACATCAGGAGACCTTTGTTCAGTGATTCCGGTAACAGACTAGATAGTAAGGGAATCATCTCAGTGTAATGTATATGACAGCCCTAGTTTTCAAGACATTTATGGCCTTGGTATCACCAGCTGGCTGAGGAAATATGTACTGTATGTCTGCCTGCCAGTGTTTCTGGAGTGCTGCTTTAGAAAACTCAACCAAAAAAAAAAAAAATTTGACACCTTAGTACAGTATTCATTTTTTTATTTTTATGAACAACAAATTAACATATTCATGTGTTTTGTGTTGGAGAATATAACACCTATGTTATGTAAGGAAAACAGACTTACAAATAAGGTTCACGTTTTTTAGACTCCATGCAAGTTTAGAAAACAAATGTAGCTTGTTGAAACTAAATTTTCCTTTTGCTCTTCTGGGTAGATGTACTTTACACCTGTTTACAAACTGAACATGCAGTAGGATATTTTTGCAGTAGAATATTGTGCTTGGAAATGATGTATGTTTTGTTCTGAGCTTAATTTATATTTTAATAGTCTTCTAAGTTTAAAAAAAATGCTGAAATTACAAAAAAAATGAAATTTATGCCTGTTACTTTAAAATTTTAAATGTGAAATTGTGTTTTATTCAATTCTTCTAAATTATTTTAATGATTTGACAGTAAGAACAGAATTTAATTGATTCTTTCTGGACATTAATTTTTGAAAGAATTTAAGATGAAGGTGGTGTCTGGTGTGATACTTCATAAGTGAAACCAGGGTGAATCTTTATAATAGGTTTCCCTTGAGACTTCTGAAAATTCCCTTTGTCATCTGTTCTTATGGATACATAAAAAAAAATCCTGTCCTTCATGTAGTTTGAATCAATAAATTGCAGTCTACCACACATTTTACTAGAAATCTAGTTTTTTAAAAAACCCCAAACTTCCACTCTGTGGTGTTTAGTTTTTTAATGAGCTAGCTCACATTTAAGAAGAATGGGGGTTTTATATGTTACCTAAACAGAAACCAAAAATAATGCATGAAGAGAAGACAGGAGAAGCCTTCCAGTGCAAATTTAAGTAGAAAACACTTATATTTGGAAAAAATTTAGTACTAACTAGTGATGACTGCAACTGTTCGTCATCTATAGTATTCTTATTTTGATCATGTACTTAAAACTTAAGGTCTCATTAAACTTGAGGATTCATTAATCTCTTTTGGATTTTTAAATGATTTGTATAGATAATGTGGCTTTATTCCTGGATATATGTTTGTCATAGCCTTAATTTAACAAGTTTAGTTAAAATCCCTATTTTTTTGAAAAGGAGCTTATTTAAACCTCTCTACATACCTTTTAAAATTCCTGTTTCAATTTACTGTTACAAAACCTAACAGATTCTGATTTTTATTATTTTTTAAATCTTTTACAAGTCAAACAGGTAATAATGATAAAAAAATTTCAATGAAACTGGTATTATTGTCATGTTGTATCTTTTACTTGTAGCTTTTATGAGGTTTTGTTTCTTTTGTGTGAAAAACTTCAGATCAACTTGAAATCTAGTAGGAATTATATTGGTATGTTCATTAACTATTTAACCCTTTGTAATTACTTTGTATCTTCATTTTACAGATGGAATACCTCAGGTTTACTATTTTGGTCCATGTGGCAAATATAATGCTATGGTGCTAGAACTACTAGGACCTAGTCTGGAAGATTTATTTGACTTGTGTGGTAGGACATTTTCTCTTAAAACCGTTCTTATGATAGCCGTGCAGTTGGTAAGTAGAATAGATGTTAATTTGAGTGTTCATTAGAATAACTAAGTCAGTTTCAATGGATTAAATGCTTATTTCACTTAAGAGATTTGCATTTCCCATGTTTTAAATGGATGTTGGTGGCTTCTAAAGACCCTGTGATAGTTTTAGCAGTAAGACTGTCTTATGTTACTTAAATTTACATAGTTCTAGTTTTTCAAGAATCATTGCATTGAATGAATGTCTTCTGAGTTCTTATAATCACAACCTGATATAATGAATTTTAGTTTCATATACTCAGTTAAAGAAGACCTTCCTGAAATAAATACAGTTTTAATCCATTAATGGATGGTGGGACTCACTTTTCCTGGGCTTTCTTGTAAAAACAAACAAACAAAATCTCCCAAACTTGGCCAGAAATACTAAAATAACACAAAAACATGCAATGAAGAAATCTTTTTTTTTTTTTTTTCTTTAAGATTTCCTGATTTGGTTCTTACCCAAGAGTGGGTGGAAGTGAAAAGAGAGAGAGAAGGGTTTGAACGTTTCTTTTGATACAATGTTTTTTAAATAAGTCCTTATGAAATGATGATACTGAACCTCCATGTCCCTAAATAGGTAGTAATGTTTTTACCCATTAAGGGCAAAAATAGCTGCTTAAAACACAACTGTAATTGTATAACAGGCCTGCAAGTATAGACATATAGACATATTCAGCTTATGTGCAGCCAAAATGACAAAGTTCATTTTTTAAAATGCTCAATTCATCACAGATCCAACGATTATCTTTATTTAATACTTGTTGGTCCTTTCTGAGTCTGTAATAATCTTGACAGAAGGGGATCCATCTAGAAAGGAGGTTATATATATAGCAGTGAACTTCAAGTGCTTCTTTCATTTATACCTGTAATGTGTAATAGATATACATGGAACTCTATTCACTGCTTGATTACATAATTTCTGGTTATAACTTCAATGTGTGTGAAACCTGCTTGGTGCCAGCTGTTCTTAAAGAAGATAACTTCTGTTATATACTGGTTCCTGTCTAATGTCCACTGTAAAATTTTCCAATACACAGTGTGGTGTATCTGCTTAGGAGTTGTGTACAATTTCCATTGACTTGAACTGGGACATACCTTAAAAGTGTTGTGGTTTGAGTTCAGAGGGCCATAGCCCTTTGGTTTTGAGGTGATAGGAGGGATGATTGCCTCTTAAATATAAATTCAGTGTAAGATACTTAGCTTCTACCACAATTTAATGTGGCAACCTGAAACTTAAACTTTCTGTTTTTTTCTTTTTTTAAAGATTTCTCGTATGGAGTATGTCCATTCAAAGAACTTGATATACAGAGATGTAAAGCCTGAGAACTTCTTAATAGGACGACCTGGAAACAAAACCCAGCAAACTATTCATATTATAGACTTTGGGTTGGCAAAGGAGTACGTAGATCCAGAAACAAAGAAGCACATACCATATCGAGAACACAAGAGCCTTACAGGAACAGCTAGATACATGAGTATAAATACACATTTAGGAAAAGGTATGTGTGCTTTAAGTGCAGAAACAAGAATTCAACAGCAGTCATTTGTCTGAAATCATCTTGTTTTCAAGTTGTAATTTTTCTCAGTTTATAGTCATTAAGAACTGCAAGTTTTGTATACTATGCAAAACTATAGTTTGTCCTTATGAAAATGCTATTAATGGGAATAAGCTTCTCTGGATTACTAAATATCATGGCCCTGTCTCAGCAAACAATTGTTATTTTTGGTAGATATTCATACAAGAAAGATAAGGTGATTTTTTCTGTATCATGACATCTTCATGGTCATGAAATAGATATGCTCATTAAAGATCTCAAAATTATTAATTGCAACAACATAGGTTTTCAATGCTACTTTGTCAGTTTTTTTGATCCCTTTGAAATTCACCATGTAGTGCAAAAAAAGTAGCTTATATTTGCTGATTTCTTCAATTTTTTTTTCTTTTTTAATGCTTTTACTGTCTGAGGCTTTGTCAGGGTAGTTACAGATTATGCTAAGTGTTGTACAAATGATGAGCTCAAGAAATTACAAAATACGTATAGAGAGGCAGGTAGTTATTGAATGAATAAATTTAGCTGGAAAATAGTGTTTGAGCATCAAAATGGTCTTTGTTTATCCAGTTATATAGAGTTTTTCTAGTGAAAACATGTTTGACGAATTTGTGTAAAATCAGTTTCTTCCCATTGTATGGTAGTCACTACTTAGATTGGTCTCTGAATTGGTTGTACAAAATATTTCACAATACTAGTAGTTCAAAGGTACTTCATGATAATATGGTGAGAATCCATTCATGTTTTCCAGGTAGTAATAAGGTGCTTAATAAAATCAGACCATAGTAGCTTGTGATTAACAGCAGTAGCTGATGAAAGGATGTTAATGTGTAAAACTATAGACTCATTTAGGTTGGAAAAGAGCCTTAAGATCATTGAGTCCAACCCTTAACTTAGCACTGACAAGTCCACACTAAACCATGTCCCTAAGTGCCATGTCTACATGTCTTTTAAATACATCCAGGGATAATGACTCAACTGCTTCCCTGGACAGCCTTCATTTCAGTGAAGAAAATTTTCCTAATATCCAATTTTAACTTCCCCTGGTAAACTTGAGTCTGTTTCTTCTTGTCCTATCACTTAGTACTTGGGAGAAGAGACTGATACCCACTTTGCTACAACCTCCTTTCAGGTATTTGTAGAGAGTGTGATAAGGTCTCCCCTCAGTCTCCTGTTCTCCAGGTTAAACAACCCCAGTTCCCTTAGCTGCTCCTCATAAGAGCTGTTCTCTACGGCTTCGTTGCTCTTTGGACATGCTTCAGCACCACAAATGTAGTTCAACTTAATGTATTTTTTGTAATAAAATTAGGCATGTCTGTTAAGTCATTGTGCCCTTTTAAAAAAGGAATTGAATTACCTCATGTGATGGTTTAACTTTGGCTAAATGCCAGGTATCCACCAAGTCACTCTAGCACTTCCCCCCCACTTTTCCCCTTGTTTTCTCAACAGGGCAAAGAGGGGAAAGAAGATAAACTAACCCTTGTGGGTAAAACAAAAGCAATTTTAATGTAAGCAAAATGAAGCAAAGGTCCCTGCACATGGAAGCGAAAGCAAACAGATTTATTCTCTAGTTCACGCCCATGGACAGATGCTGTGGGGCCTTCTCAGGCAGCAGGGCTCCAACACATGTAGTGGTTGCCTCATAGGACCAAGGGTGACCCCACCCCCTTCCTCCTTTCTCCCAGCTTTATACTGAGCAGACGTCATATGGTCTGGAATATCCCTTTGGTCAGTTCGGGTCAGTGTCCTGGCTGTGTCCCCTCCCAAGATCTTGCCCACCCCGTCCCACTGGGGGAAATGTCGGAAAGATCCTTGGTGCTGTGTAAGCACTGCCCAGCAGCAGCCACAACACCAGGGTGCTACCAACACCCTGCCAGCTCCCAGCATAAACCACAGCACCATGGGGGCTGCTATAGGGGAAAACCAATTCCAGCTCAGCCAGACCCAGTACACCACATTTATAGGCAAATTTTTCTTAATTAGTATGAGGCTCTTCCATCTATTTCTGCTTTTCTCTTGGTTCTTGCTTTATTCTCAAAGTAAATCATAATGGAAAACCTATTTAACTTCCTTGACTACTAAACTGACTTTCTATGAAAATTTAGAGAAAGTATATATACAACTACTGTTGAGTGCATTCCATGGAAATGTAGCTCTGTGTTTACAAAATGTTATTCAACAGTACTGCAGGATTGCAAACTTGGGAAATTTGCATCATCATTAGGCAAAATAAAGAATGTGGAGTTTTTTTCAAATTAAACAAAACCTCTAATTCTTCAAAACAGATAGGAGGAAGACTTAAGCAGATACATTTAACTGATGATGAAAAGATTATGTTTTTCTATGTTAACATTTTAAAAGGGTCTTGATTTCATAAAGCCAAACATTACTTTCTAATTTAAAATTAGTTTTGAATTGTGTTTAACCAGACTTACATCTCTGAATCTTCTGGCTTCTTTGTTTTTTTACAAAAGTAGCTCAAGGATTTAATTTCATGATGTGCAAACCAATTCTGACATGCATTGCAGATTTTGTCATGAGTTGATCTTGCTTTCTCCATGTGAATTCCTGAAACAACCTCAAATTTCTTCATTAAGTAGGGAGAAAAAAACCAGGTGTAACTACGGCTATGTTATGTATCCATATGTGAGATTAACAGTGTGTATAGAATGCCCTGATTGTTAGAAGCATATGGTCAGAAGTTGCTGAATTAGACAGTTGGCAAAAGATGATCCCAGTCAGTTTGTAAGTGTTATGTTAGGGTACTGCATACCTACATTTAAGTAACTTTTAAGTAACTTTTTACGTATCCACACACTGCATACTTTTTTAAAGAAAAACAAAAAAAGTTCTCAAATACATAACTGTCTTGTCTTTGCATCTGATACATGATGTTTTCATATACTTTTCTACTCAACTCTTCACTGATGAGCAAGATTGTTCAGTTTAAGCAAAAATAATCTTGATAAATTAGTATGAAGAGTTGTTCCTTAGAAAGATATACTAATGTGCACTATTGCATAGTGTCTGCAAAGCAATCTAAAATGATAAAAAGTTTATGAATTTTAAGACATTCAATAAATCGATGAAAGTAAAATTTACGGTAATTATGTAGTGGTTTATTGTAGGGTCCAGATTAAAACATATAGCTCGCAATGTGGTAGCAGATTTAAAGTTGGGCCACTAAAGGTGGTGCCTACTTGTAGAAGGAAAGAATGAGTAGTAGTAGCTGTCATGGAAAGGAAGACCAAATGGGTAATGAAGGAAATTCTGGATAACTACAGGTTACAACATTAGATATTAAAACTAACAAACCTTTCAGTTTATTGAAATGTAAACTACACTAAAAACCTGTCATGTTTCAGAGGTAGATTCACAAAGCATTCAGTTATCCCTACCACAGGACTGCAATTTCAGGGTGTAAGAAGGCCAAACTTAGTGTCAGCCATCTGATACTCATTTTCCACAGTTAGTGACCCATAGTCTCCAAAGGTTGGTTTTGTTAGATACTGATTACTTCAGAAATAACTTTGCTGTTTTTAATTGCAACTGTTTGCTTGCATATTTTAATGTGGACAGGGGAAAGGAGAGGATGGGGGAATCTCTCCTTATTACAACTGATAATTCAGAGCCTCAAGGTATTACGCTCATACTGTTTTGTGTGTCTTCAACTGCTAGAAAGACTACATTTTCTAATTAGAAGGTACTGGTTATGTGTTTCAGTAGTGGACAGTTTAAATATCAGCATCCCCATTTTCCATAGCATCATGGACACTGTGGTTCCTTTCCTCATTACAGAAGTGTGTAGTGCCTTTGCAAGTAAAGAAAGATTCCAGTAGCAGACTGCTAGTCACAGAATGGTTGAATTTGGCAGGGACCTCTGGATGTTGTTTTATTCTACCTCACTGCTCAAGTAGTGCCACCTAGAGCTGGTTGTCCAGGGTTGTGTCCAGATGGCTTTTGAGTATCTCCAAGGAGAGAGACTCCACAGCCTCTCTGGGCAACCTGTACCAGTAATACATGTTCCTGTAGTACATAGAGTGCAGAAACATTTCCCTACTTTGTCACCACAAAAAGTTGTTACTATTTAAATAGTTGCAGTTGGAAGTTTGTCAGGTGAATTAAAGGTTTTATTATTAACTTTTAAATTTCATCTTTATTAGAAGTCATGAGCTTAAACATTAACATTTTTTCTGGTTATTGTTTCAGTTGTATAAAAGTAGGAATCTTTTTCCTTTTTCAGTTAAACTTATTTCCATTGTGATTTTGAAACCACCCAAGAACTCACCTACTAGAGCACATTTTAGCTTTTCCTCCATGTTAGAAGTAAAATACAGTATGTCACCTTTATTTGAGCAGTTCCTTTAATGTTTGAAAATGGAAGTGGAATCCTAATACAGCAGTATGGAATCCTAATACAGCAGTATTTACTAGATTGCTACGATATTTTGTAGTTTTGATCACAACGATGACAAATTTTTCATGGCTCCAAGTCTTGTTATCATTGATGTCAGTGAGTTTTGAAATTCTTGTTAAGAAGCAGTTTCTTAATTAATGCAGTGTAGTAGCATATTCTAGATAATTTAAATATAATGAAAGACCTCCTAACACTTAACCATCCCAAACTGAATTGTTATATGAAGCTGGACTTAATTCTGTATACATTCACATAGTAAGAAAAAACTAGGTAGCAGGGTTTGAGCTTCCTAATCATAATTTCTAGAACATAAGTTCCTCAAGTAAAGGAGACATTGGCTCTGTTTTTCAGGCATGATGTATCAAGTTGGTGTCAACTTAAGGTGATACAGCAAATTTTAAAATAAAATAAGGCTTTTTTAGTCCTCAAATAAAAGGACCACACCCCCCCATATCACTTAAGAAAATAAAGCAAAATGTAAAGCTGGTAATTGCTTGAAGAACATGATTGAATTTTGAGGGGATGACATGTT